AAAAAAAAAGGGGGGGGGGGGGGGGGGGGGGATGACAAAGGTTGCCCACCAGAAAATAGGAACAAGCTCTGTAACAGAGTTTGGGCCTGAAAGTGAAAGGCAAACTGCAGCCAGAGGAGGGGATTACCCATATCTGACAAGGGCATACTGTTCTCAGTGAAAGGGCCATGGGGATTTGATGAGCACAATACCGTGAAAAATACACACCCACCCAGAGACAGTGCCCCCTGCAGCCAATCCATCATGCCATCAAAGGGGTAAACAGCTGGGACAAGGGTTCTAGCCCCACCTCCTGCAAGAGGACACTTTAATCACAAACTGCCCTGGATCAAGCCTTTGCTCCATTAGTCAATAAAGAGACACCACTAGGACAGGATTGGGATCTCATCCACACTTGGGACAATGCTGCTCACTGGGAGCATCATCTGGGAAGGGCAGAGAGAGATAGGACCTCATCTACTCAGCAAGAAACAGCTTATCAGTGAATCCCAGCACAGGATCCCCTTCTTGGAAGGCAGAGGCCCAGTGCTGCTCATACAAAACTATCAATGCTTTATTGACAGGGGACCCAGGGCTGAATCTAGGCTGCAGTCCAGTGCACTCAGGGCCCATCACGCTTGCTGTCCAAAGCTGAAGAGGGATTCTTAAACTGATCCAGCCCCCTGCTGCATCCGCTTCATCAGCTCCTCATCTTGCATGGAGAGCTCTGTCAGCTTCTTGCCCATGCGTTCATGGATGTCCAGGTACTTGGAGACACAGCGGTCCAGGCATACAGACTCCCCTTTGGAGAGCTCAGCCTCCTTGTAGTGGGGGGGGACACACTTCCGGTGGCAGGCATTGGTCATCCTGGGGTACAAAGGAGGGAGACATTATGAGAATTTCCACACGCCCCTGCTCACCAGGCCAGGCTCTTTCACACACAGCCCAGCAACCATTCCAGACATTAGTTCTTCCCCCACCCTGCTCTGTGGATACTTATATGGCCACTGCACCTACCCTGCTATTGCATCCTAGGCTTTCCTTTCCACATGCACGCAGCCCTGCTGATACTCTGCAGCCCCATCCCCCTGCCATCACAGATCCATACTCCCCACATAGCTTGACCAGTGTATTTCCATCCATCCACAGGATCTCAGACATTTCAACTCAGGGATCCTGCTCACACACACAGCTTTATAGTGATGCTCCTTAAACACAACCTGCATCCTGCAGGGGCCCCCCTGCAGGACATGAGATATTCTTGCACTTGAAGGCAGGAGCCCTGTGGCCTGCAACACCGCACAGGCAGGTGTTTCCCTCTCTCCTCCTCCCCCACCCCCCAGGCCCTTAGGAGCATGGAGCAAATCCCAGAGCCCCGCAGGGGTCTTTGGACAGGGTCATGACCTGTTGTACATGTCAGCCATCATCTCCACCTCCAGCTCTGCTGCCAGCTGCTGTGCCCGGACAGGATCCATCGCCCGAGCTGTGTGTCCCGTGCAGCTGGGGCAGGGCTGGGATCTCCTGGAAAGGCACAAAAAACTGTCAGTGCTGCCCCAGCCCCGGGCAGCGCCCAGCCACACCCGAAGCGGCGTCCACGACGACCCCAGCGCACCCGAGGCCGCGGAGGCCCCGAGGAGCTGGCGGCGCCTCCCTACGGGGCAGCCCCTGCACCCTCTGCGCGGAGCGCGGTCAAACCCCGGCGGGGGCGGGGCAGCCGCGGCACCGTGCCCCGCCCGCCCCCTTCGAGACCAGCGACACCTCCCCCCCCGTCTCGGCCGCCCCATGCCCGTGCGCAGGGGCCGGACGGGGGCAGCCGGTCCCCTTCAGCCCACCTGCCAGGCGGAACCACGTGGGGGCACCAGCACTTCCGGGAAGGAGGCGTCCCCCTCCCACGGCTCAAGTAGCGGGGAAACGCCACTTCCGGCAGCGCAGCGATTGGGCCGGATCGGGAGGCCCGGCCTGCCAACCACAGAGACGCGCGGGGGCGGGGCTCAGAGGGAGCGGGAGCTGGAGCGGGTAGGGGTGGGGACCCCGGGGGAGTGGAGGGCGCGCCGGGAGTGGGGCGGGGCATGTTGCCATAGGGCCGCGGGG